AAAGAGTATTCTTAGGAAGTTTCAGCTGAATCCAAGTTTGAGCGATTTTCGTCGTAGTAGCACTTTAATCGTAATTCACTGATCCCGTATTCATTGTTCTACTTCGCTAGCTACTATTGCAACGTCGGACAAGCTAAAATGTGTTGCAACAGCGGATGCTGAAAACTGTTATTGGCTGTCTTAGAATAAATGCATTCTAAAAATACATTTAGAAAAAACTCAATAACAACTATAAAAACTATAAAAACCTTCGAGTTTGCTTGTCGGACTATCATCTTCGGTGATCAATCAAGCCCAGTCGGGATAGGCGTAATATGGACTTGATTCCCTAATGGCACGACAGCGATATGCATTTTAATACTTTTCTATGCATATTAAATATGGTAAATATTTTCTTGTTAGATTTGGCGAAGGATACATCGTTACGGTCCGCATCCAAGGAGATATACCTGATTTGCAGCCAGTTGTTAAATATTTCAATGAGAAGCTTCCGTTTGCCACTCTTAAGGTATTTAATGTTTCACTATTCTAAACAAAATACTGGTACCGGCATTTCTTTCCCCCACTAAAATAGATTACCTTTATCGCAGGAACGTCATCATAACATGATGCAATACCAGATTCCATCGGGTGTTATGAGCCTGGCCAAGATATTTGGTAGCATAGAGTCCTCCCAGGACCAACTGCATATTGAAGATTATTCAGTTAGTCAGACGACTTTGGACAATGTAAGTAAATATTACCAATTTGTTCAAACTGCAGCAAATATTGCTATAGAACTTGAAGTGAGCTGGAATTTTTATAGGTTTTTATCAACTTTGCACGACAACAAAAAGACGAGACTGATTTTGATGAAACTTCGTTGTTGCCATCAAGTCAGTGTCGTGGGATTGGCCAGTTACCTTCTCTGATGACCAATGAGATTAGGTTCAGTATGTTGCAAGAGGATAGTGATGATGAAGACGAAAGCTGTCAGGTTACTTTTGATGGGCTGGTGAGTACATTACGCTTACTTTTACTTTTTTCCTTTGAGTTCCATTGACATCGAAAATTCCAGCTAAATGCCTGCTCCCGCTTTGTTGTTTGTGTTTGGTTCAAATTATCACGCCAACAGCGTTTTTCACGTTCTGATCACGTGCACTTGTTTATTTTCATCATTCTTGTCACGTGCAACTTATTTTCCCACCGAGATACATTTACATTTAGCTAGTGTCACGTGGTCATCTTTCAACCAATGACAATGTTCGTCATATCGGAAAATTTGGTAACTATATAACAAATTGGTAGTACAAGTCTTTATAACTTAAACACGTAATTTAAAAAAAATGTGATTATCGTGTTTATAACATCCATTTTGAAATCACAAGTAAATCCTGCAATCTGATTGGTTCCCTGCAGCAGTGATTTCAGCCTAAATTGTACCATTTTGAGCTCTAAATTGCACGATTTTGCACATCATCTGATTTGAACCAAGCACAAGAGAGATATGTCGTTTTCTAGCCAATTATATCAAGGAATCCATCTGAGTGTTGAGCTCGCCGCTACTTGCAAGAAAAAAGAGCCACTGCTCATAAAAATTGTCTGAAGAACGCTTTTACCGTTAAAAGTCGTAAGAAAGACTTAAAAAGCCGTACAAAGGACTTAAAAAGACCAATTGAGCACTTAAAATTGTCAAAAGCATCATTTTGTAACTGCTTAAGTAAGTTGAAGAAATTTGCGAGCCCCTGAACGAGAAATACGAGAACGTTTTTGAATAAAATTTGCATTCAGTAAAAAAAACTTCAAAAAAATTGGAGTTTTGTTAACATAAATCTATAGAAATATTAAAAAACTATCGAAGGAAAGTTTTTTGAAATGGACATTTCGACAGGTTAAATATGTATGACGATTTGGACGTATATATTTTATAGTTTGGCTTTAACAAGTGACCTTTGTTTTTCAGCCTCGCCTTGTGTTTAATGACCAACCAGTGGATGCGTAGAAAAAGACTATTTTACAAAATAGTTGCGTCGGACGGATGCAATAATCCTACCGCACCAGGATTTGATCATTGATTTAAACAGCTTTGGTATATCTGTTTGATCCATCTAGAGAAGAATATGTGCTTATAATAAATTTAATTTAAGTAAAACAAGAATTAAAGCAAGGGCAGGGAATAGTGAAGGGAAGGAAGAAATCGATATGAAGAACCGCCTTGACATTCTAGTATTTTTAAGCATTGTCAAAAATTATTTATTTTGTAGTGAACGCAATTTAATAAAAGAAGTTAAGGGAAACTATAAATTCGTTTCTTTGTTTCTTTGTAGAGTGCACTTTGGAATAAATTTGCACGAGCGGGTTTTCAAAAATGTCAAATTTGCACGAGCCCGATATGGCGATTGCTATTTGAGCTATTTGAAAACCCGTGAGTGCAAATTTATTCCAAAGTGCATTATAAAATAACTGTTATGAATGTCGCGTTCTGATTGGTTTGGAGCGCGTGCTTTATGAGAGCACATTGCACGCGCGCGCACTTTCCGTTACGTCATCCCTATCTATTATTGTAATTTGTATTTTATAAAAGAAATAAAAAACTTGCTTGCTGTGCTGTGTGCAGTCATAAAGCACTTGGGGATTGGCGGAACACTCGAGAAGTGTCCAGTGTTCTCCTAACACTTCTCTCGTGTTCTGCCAACCCCCGCGTGCTTTATGACAGCACACAGCACGCGCGCGCGTTTTCTATTCCTTCACGAGAATACCATGCGATTTCTTGTTAATAATAAAGATGCAAACATTTCGAACCAAAATTAGATAGAAAAAAGACGTGTTGGAAAAAATGCACGAAGCGAAGAACTCGTTTGTTTTTGTCAAAAATCGGTTTACAAAACAATATTTTATTTACAAACATGAAAGAAATATGAATAACAAAGATTACTATCGATCTTTAAAAAGTAAAAACATGTTTTTTTAGAAATCACTTTTTTCATCTTCAAGACTTCAAATATTTGACATTTTTTGACAAAACAAATAAGCATATTGCGAAGAAATTCTGCAAAACTTACATAAATCATCAAATATCTTCTTTTTTCAATTCCTAAACACTCAAAGGAAAGTTGAATAAGCTGCTTTCTTTGTACAGAAGTATTATTTACCTCTTTACGGATAAAGTAGGCGAAAACTCTTGAAGTTTCAACATCAAGTTTCAACGTCTCTCGCTTCAATTTTCGCGTCAAGTGACCTTGAACAGCTGTAAAATGGCCCAACTGATGTTTTCTTTCCTTCTCATTTCTCAAATAACAAGCAGCGAGTCCTCCTTTTGCCATTCTCACCTTTTTTGCTGGTTTTCAACTGATGAAGCTTGACTTTTTTAACATTTTTGAATCCATTTTTAAGATAAAATTCCGCCATCTTGAATTTTCTGAGAACTTCCAGAGAGGGAAGGCTGTTCTGTTGCTATGATAACTGCTGTGATCTGATTGGCTAGTTTGAATTTCTTTTGTCTTTTCAACCAATCACTAAAAAGTGTTTCACATTTTTGCACTGGTGTTTCAGGAAAACAGCAGTGCTCTCAACCAATCAGAAGTGAGAAATTTTTGCATCTATATTATTGAAATTGATAAATACGTTCGAAAGCACTAAAAAATAACGGACAGGAATATCTGTTTAACAAGCTATGAATGAACACCTGTAATTTGGACCATAAAACAAAGAACAACCTAATAACAATCGCAACACTTAACGGAATGGCCCCTRACTGTCTTGTAGATCTCTTTAGATTAAAACAAGGCGTTACAAATTACGACTTAAGGGACTCTAGTACCTCATTGCAGTTACCTCTCCCTAAGACAGAGTTTGGTAAAAGAAGTTTTTCTTATGATGGGGCAAAAGTCTGGAACTCCCTACCAGAAAATTTAAGAAATTGCAAATCACTGGCCAAATTCAAATCTGAAATTGCCACTCACACT